CGAGGAAAACGCACGAGGGAGAATACAGTCCCTCCCTCGTCTAGTTCAGTGTCTTCTGGCGTCTATATAAAAACCTGGGTTCGATATTCATGGATACTGGCACCAAAAAGTTAGGTAATTTTCTCTTACTACGGTTCAACCTCTCCTCAATGTCCTCCTTGGGGATAAAAGCAAGTGGCCGTTGTAGAGATGTTAAAACAAGAGTCGACGTATGGGGTGTCCTAGAAAAGTCGCCGTTCTGGTGAGGTGGTGGTTAGCGGAGGTTCGACTGTACTCGCTTTTCCTTTTCTTTTTGCTTTCAAGTAAAGTAATAGTAGATGTCATGACGGCTTCAATCAACTTTTCTTGATTACTATGGACTTAAGACGTTCTTTTTTGCATTTCAGTCATTTTACAGTTAATCCGACTAAATCGTTTTCTCCATAGCACCGACATCTTCTCTTAAATTTAAATACGTATTCTTTATGTTGACTTAAAGCATGCAGAGATCCACTTGGTATGGAAAGCTATGTCATCTCTGATGGACAAATCAGTGCCTCTTCACAATGGGATAATAATCATGCCGCCATCCAGGGAAGATTAAACTTTAAGGCTGGTTCCGGAAAACAAGGAGGGTGGTCATCGAGATACAATAACGTCAATCAGTGGCTGCAGATTGATTTGGGTGATCCAAACACTGATGTAACCGGTCTGTCAACCCAAGGCAGGAATGCTCACTCCCAGTGGGTAACCAAGTACAAAATGCAGTACAGTGTCGACGGGACAAATTTTCAGTATTACGTGGAACAAGGCGCTGAAAAGGTATTATGGTTTACCTCTCAGGTCTCTGGAAAAATTTTTAGGGAATATCATTTGGGTAGACTTCAATGGCCTCTCCATTTTAAGCAGAATAACTTTTATTCGCATTTTTATCCACAAGGAGCTCTGGTGATTGCCTCAGTAATTGTTTAATATCCAAATTTGCAGCTTGGGTAACATATCGTAAAATTCCGATAATAAGCTCCTCCATGTATAAGCTCCTCCAAATATAAGCCCCCCAAACCGGTAACACAAAAATTACCTTCAAATACAAAGTAAAACAAAGCAAAAACGGTAAATTTACTTCCA